TTCTTCTCGCCTACAAAGCCCTTAATGGGCAGGCGCCATCTTACCTTAAAGAACTCATTATACCCTACTGTCCTACTAGGGCATTGCGTTCCAAGAATGCAGGGTTGTTGGTTGTTCCTAGAGTCTCTAAAAGTACAATGGGAGCCAGAGCCTTTTCTTATCAAGCTCCACTTTTGTGGAATCAGCTTCCAGTTTGTGTTCGGGCGGCAGACAACCTATCCGTTTTTAAGAGTGCGCTTAAGACCTTCCTTTTTGATAAAGCTTATAGTTAGGGCTGATTAGATTCAGCCCCTAGTTTTGCTGATATAGGCTTAGTTTGTCGGGGGACATCTTACTTCTTCCTTCTCTCTGTCTATACCTGTGTACTCTCATGTTCCGATTAACCCAGCTTCCCCAAATTTCTTTCTTTTTGGTGTCTATATACGCCGGGATCCGGAGTCATGGATGATCCTGCGGTCCTGTTTCATGGATCGCGAGCCCTGGATCTTGAGTCGTGGCTGTGGTCCTGGATCATAAGTCCTGGATGGATATCCTCGTGGATTCATCTTCCTATTATACACACATGCATTTCCAAACATTTGGACTACCTATGTTTTCAATTTACACATGGCATCTATTGCACGTCTGTCCGTCCTGGGAGAGGGATCCCTCCTCTGTTGCTCTCCCTGAGGTTTCTCCCATTTTTCCCTTTAAACTGTGGGTTTTCTCTGGAAGTTTTTCCTTGTACGATGTGAGGGTCTAAGGACAGAGGGTGTCGTATTGTCATACTGATATTCTGTACAAACTGTGAAGTCCACTGAGACAAATGTAACATTTGTGATATTGGGCTATATAAATAAACATTGATTGATTGATGGTAAGAAAGGAGAGTAATATGCTTTGAATACTTCAGTAGCTCATTCATTGATCTGAAAATTAAACATTAGACTCAGGATATTATTCTATTTTGGCACTATTGGCCTAGTTTCAGAAAAATCTCTACGTTTTTCTTTCAAATCACTTTACAAATATACAGTACACATTTTTACTTTGTTGATTGCTGTTGGACATCATGTAAAGGTTAATGTGCACACTTTGCATAGATTAGGACACGTAAAACTAAAGAGCATATGAGCTGACTGACTTTCAGGGATTTTCAGAAGGATTTCTTAAACATTCATTCATGATTTGACTTTACAAAAAATAAATATATAAACCACTTATGCCTAGAGGGATGATTGCCTGGCTGTTTTCATAATTGCTTGTTTTTTTCTATGTGATTATCCATTGGAACAGCTTAAAAGTCAATTTCAGTTTTTAATGGGCTTCTATAAGAAGAGCTCAGTGGCATTTTGTTAGTAACTAGCACACACTGTGTGATTGCAGTGCACAGTTTGACATCAGCCTTTGAGAGAAGCTCTGTGATACAGAACTGGACTTTATGGGATATATATTCAGTTTGTAGCATCAATGAGAGTCTTGTACAAGATAATATGAATAATTGTTCGAGCTGCCTTAGTCAATTGGTCTTGTATTGGTAATTGTGTACCCTCTTTTCATGTTGAATGACCTATTTCCAAGAAATGAATGAGCAGATACAGTAAACAGCAAATTCCAAGTTATTTGTGGAGAAACTCCGCTTTACAGATCTCTGCATTAAATCAACTATTTGATACATTACTTGATATATTACTAGCACATACAATGGGTCACATGGATAGCTTTGTATGTTTGAAGACGCAGTTAAGCTACAGATAAATAGGCATTCAACAATTTAGCTTGACAAAACCGTAATAAAATTCATTAGAGGAAGTGTTGTATTTTGGGGTACACTGTCTTCTAGTTCATGCTAGCATGGCAAAATGCTGACAACGACAGTGCTGACATGGTGATATTTAGGCTGGCCTAGTTAGCAAATCATTTTCATTAAACTTAAAGTACAGCTGAGAAAGATGGCAATGCTTTTCCTCTGAGCACAATGAGCACACAATCTTAGTACAATCCATCCAATAGTTGTTGAGATTTTCTGTCTGGACTTTCCAATCCTAAAGCCATGCCACTAAAAATGTCACTTGTGTTTTGTGTTAGTTAATGTGGGATTCTATCCCTGTACTGTATATCATTTGCTCTTACTAGTGACGCCCAAGATAGATTTGAAACAACTTGTTGGATATAAAAGAAACACCTTTGTGTCCTGCCTTAAACGCAGACTTTTGAAATCAATGTCAACTTTGAAGTAATCATCAATTAAATTTAATCTCAGTTATTTTGCCCAGTTCTCTCAACAGAAACAGAATAAAGGGGATATCTGTGGGAGACTGATGCTTCTCCAATTATTGATCTTGATCCTTTCAACCAGTTGGCACATGAACAAGTTTTCAAGCCTTAGTAGAATGCTGAGTTTACAGAAGCAGAGGTTTATAACAGTAACCTATGTCACAATCCTCTGACCATGTCACTGCTTTTGAACTGCTCTGTTAAGTCCCCATATATCCCTGGTGTATAGTTAACTGCAGCTGAAGGGAGGAGTGATGAGGTCCCCAGTGGATACAGGCCAGTCTTGGTGTAATCATGTGCACCCTTGGCCTCTGTGCTAAAGCCACTAACAGCACAAACTGATAGATGCTGACAGGGTTCAGAGTGAGAGCGACGCACAGCCGTGCCTCTGACCTGAGAGAATGCCAAAACTGCTGTGACGTGTCACCAGTGTTATGTCAGCAATGGAGACAAACAGGCGTGAGAAGCTATGACAACAGTGTATTGTGCAGCAAAAGAATGACTGCGGAGGTTAACATAACAAATGCAATAGTTCAAAGAAATTAGAGAAAACTGTCACAAGCTGTGGTCCAAGTTCTACTGGTTCAATTTAAACCATCTCATATACAATGTTGAAGAAAAATGATAGTTCTCAACCGACAAATATATTCATCATTATTGATTCATGTAGTAATATACTTATATAATATATTGATTTATCAATAGTTTAGTCATACATTTGTGAAAAATGCCACAAATCACAAACTTCCCAGAGCCCAGATGACATATTTAAAAGTCTTGTTTTGTCCAAAATGTATTCAAATTACGATGAAACAAGACAGAGAAGCAGCTAATTCTCCCACCTGAGGAGCTAGAACTGGAAAATGTGTTATTTAACCTTTAATTTGTTTGTAGATCAACTAGAACAATCTGGCTATATTCTACCCTTTAACCTCTTTTCTCTCATTGGTCTGTGATATTTTGAACAGTGGGGCTTTTTCGATGTGTCCGTTATGTTTGATGTGTTAGCCCGTATTGTCCTCTATTGCATTTACAGATTGCCTACATATCCCACAATCCCCTTCAACAAACCCAAGAACATGCCTGGACTTGTTGCATTACAGCATTAGGTTTTAAGATTGCAATTAACGATAAGGTATTTTTTTCAGTAAGGAAAGAAAGCATGCTATTAACCTTCAAATGTAACTTCTGAAATACATTAATGTTGGCTTACACAGCCAGTCATACAACTGTGGCGTTACAATGCAGTGCAAATAACAAAGTGATGATTACAACACACCGATGCTACTACTAAAATAAACTACTTGTGGTACAGTACTATTCCAATTTTCAGACAAGAAAATAATTCACGTCAACTAAAACAGGAGACAGTATTTGTAGACATACTGAATGTGTTGTGTTTACTATTGTGTGTTTGCATTCTATCAGGAGCAGAAGACATGCTGTCAACAGAAGCTTCTAAGAAAATAAATCTTCTGTGCGTAGTTTTGAAACGGCTGAAGCTTTACTGATCTTAAACAAAATATTTGACTGAAATGTGTTTCTTGGCTGATGTTTTAAGTATATCACATAGCTTTGATATATTCTTTATAACAAATAAAGAAGTATTTGAATAATCAAAGAAAATACTTTCATTCAGAAGACAATTAAAGGAGAACTGCACAAAGGGCATTGAATTACGGACCTGACATTTCTATATCCTCTATTTCCAGCACATCTAAAGTGTTCATTGTCTACACGAAGCATAGGATTCAGAATCAAACTATGAGCAGCAGTTGTGATGTTTTTGCTACAGGAAATAATTTCTGCTGTGATATTAGAGATCAGCACCAGACTCAGTGTTAAATATGAAATCACATAACAGCCTGGCAGCATCTGCTGTGTGAGCGCACACATTTACATATAAAGAAGACACACACACACACACACACACACACACACACACACACACACACACACACACACACACACACACACACACACACACACACACACACACACACACACACACACACACACACACACACACACACACACACAATACCTATCCTCATTCTCAACTCATATGGGGGAAACATGTTGACCTCATTCTTTCAACCAGAGCCAGAGATTTATAGGACTTTTTACAAGGTGCACTTAAAAATCTATCTTGATCCAATTATGTGATAAGGACTATAAGAAACTAACAAAAATAATGTTTGATGATTACCTTACAGAAAATAAACAATAAAACCGAGTTACAATACAACTCTAAGCCTGGACTGGCTGCACTGTCCTTAGGCTGAATCTTATCTTAAGTAATGAGCTGTATCAGTTAACAGTATGAGCTTTAAGCTGCACTGCTTTAAATATGATTTTTCTTAAGAACATCTTCTAATGGAACTGGACTCCCTAGATTGACTGCAACACATCTGCTGACACATACAATGACGGATGAACCCACGCTGTCACAGCCCACTGGTGCTGCCACCAGTGATTTAACCCGCAGCATCCATGACAAGGTCTATCAAGGCTCTCACTGGGTTATCTAACATCATGCCATATTTCCAGGTGAATGTACAGTAAACAGCACATCACATCTTCAAATTGCATTGGCCCAGAGGTTTAAAACACCAATAACACGACAAAGCAACCACACAGCCTCAACTAACCTCTTCTGTGTATCAATCAACAGCTGACCTCATATCTGGATCATCTGTGTAACAGCGCTCAGACATTAGATGATTTCATGCTTTCCATTGTGCCGCTCTTCCTAAATACCTTGTGCGGCTTGTTAATTAAAATCATGGCTCCTTATTCTCCGTAGAACCCCTACAGAATATCAAGCCATGCTTTCTTGAAGCTCTCTGCACTGAATCGTGGGCCTGGTGTTTCACAGGGGTTGCAGCATCTTGCTCAGTGGGTAGAAGCTTCACAGACGGCGTCTAGCGTGTTATGACTGGAGGACTGGCTGGACTTCAGAGTGCTGATGGTGGACAGAGTGGATCAGTACTAGTGTCCTGCTAGTTACTGTCAGATCAACTGTCGATAAACATTGCAAAGTCTAAAGAAACACTGAGAGTTGAGGGTTCTCTTAAAGATCGATGCTATTACTTTTAAAGCTGTAGTGCAATTTGCCTTTCTACAAGCACTGTGGGTAGTTCACCAAAACAGATCAGGCATGTTGTGTTGCTCTGTAGTCTGCCCTGAAGATACACAGCATCTTCATTCAAGCAGTTCTGAGACCAGGCCTAGGCCCACCCTTAACTGCAGGCACTGATCGGCTAGCCCTGTGTGTGAAGATGAAGAATAACATACAATATACACACTGAACAATCTGGTCATTATTAATACTTCACCGACCTTTTCACTCTTATGATCTGATCTCTCATCGGCTTTATGTCCTGGAAGCTTTGCTGGTTGACGAGGCTGTAGACCAGAATGAATCCTTGACCGTTTTTGATGTAAAGGTCCCGCATGGAGGCGAACTGCTCGGTACCAGCGGTGTCAAGGATCTCCAGCACCGAGGGTGATGAGTCCACCTCGATCTCCTTGCGGTAAAAATCCTCTATAGTGGGGTCGTACTTCTCTATGAACGTCCCGGTAACAAACTGCACAGTGAGGGCGGATTTCCCGACCCCACCGCTGCCCAGGACCACCACTTTATACTCGCGCATCGTGGATTAAATCAAATCGTAAGGTATCAAATCTCCGCGCGTCATTGACATGAACTCAAAATGTTCCCGCAAGAATCACAGTCACCATTCGCTTCCCATTTTGAACGGGTTGTCAATAATACAGTCTTGCTCGCCGCTGCTCAGCTATGGTAGAGCACAAAGACTCGCTGCCCCAAGATGGATTTCATTGTAGAAATTCCCCCACGCAGGCCAGACACTGACAGCTACCCGGGCGTCCGAGGACTGCAATTGTCCAAAAATGTGCACAGGGAGGAAGAAAATATTGCCCGCTGATAAGGAGCGTGCTGGTTTTCATCTGCTCAGCTCACCCCTCTCTGTGGATCAGAAAAAAACAAAGTTGCTCCATCGAGGGCACTGGTAAAACGCTGGCGTAAGCCCCGTAGTGTAAACTGCAGGCGCAATGTTTCAAGCCGGAGGCCACATCAGGAACAGAGCTCCAACTAAAACTGTTCACACAAATAATTAAAGAACTCTTCGTTTTCTTTTTCACCATCTCTGGTATGTCTCCGCGTCTCCCTCGCTCTCCGGTGCAATCCCAGCCGCCATACTCTCGGGTGGAGACCCACGGCCGCTGCGTAACCAGCTGGTCCCCACTCGGCTCCCGTACCGAGGCAGAAAAAACCTCTCAGTGACCCTCCCTCTTCCTCAGACGGGTGTGCGGGCCGTCCAACGGGGAGCCTCCTCTCTCTGGAAACATCACTTGTTTCTGAATGGAAGCCGCTTGGAAACAGCCATGGGAAACAGCCAGTCACATTCAGCCGTTGCATTTCCGTTCATGTGATAAAATTCCCCATCATTCGGTTGCCCCAGTGACATCCAAAGAGAGCTCGACCAATCACAGGCCTGGCTTGAGGATGTGTATCCAGGAGGAGGAAAATGCACCGGATGCTGTTGCCATGGTAACGCTGCGTTTTGTTGCTTCTGCTGCTGCTGTCCAAATGTGAGCATGTTGAATAGCAAGTCTGACAATAAAGTCTGATGATTTAACTGTTTTTAGACCAGAGCAGGCTGCAATCTGCTGGGTGGCAATTCATTAAATGATCGCACTGTAACTGTATTTTGGTCTAATTTATGTCATTGTATACATCATATATTATTAAACACATTTATAAATCGCATTAATTCCCTATTTGATATTTTATTGAAGTTATTTATTTGTCTGTGCCTATATGATCACTGAAATGCTTCTGTTTTAAATGTGCTATATAAATAAAGTTGCCTTGACTAAATTCATCCCAAGAGAATTTATTCTAAATAATAAATGTATTATAATAATTATTCCGGACATAGCCTACTACCTGAAAACTACCTGAAATAAATAATATAAAAAAGAAAATTATAGAACAAGTCATATCAATTAATATGATATATGTTTCTGCTGCCTTTATTGGTCTTTCTACGATTATTTAATACATAATTGTTCTACCCACCCAAACAATGGGAAAAAAATGGAAAGTGCTAAATCAAAGAATAGAGCTCACAGCACAGCATTAACTTGACATTTATTTATTTGCAATATTAGATTTAACACAAGTTTGAATTTACAGGAACAAAACTATCCACATGAAATGTTTACTTAAGCACAAATAAAATAACTTTAACACGTTATAAAAAAAAGAGGGACAGTTTATATTCAGGCCAGGATTTAACCGAATGGTACAAGTATTCTTTTACTGTGGGATATCAGTCAACAAGCATTTTAGTCAGGATAATGTTTGGATTGATTTTACAAACTGTCATTTTGGCCTCAAACTCAAAACTTGTGTAGGAATCATTTCAAAGAAAAGTTCAGTGAAATTTACTTTATTTATTAGATAAAATGAAATTCACAACTGAACAAGACAGATTTATGAATAGATTCAAGATAAGGCAAAGTTGACAAAAAGCATGTCCTCTCAGTTTGACGGTTGAGAAAGTGCTTCAGTCAGTCAGACTAAACATTCTTACTGTCAACATCTTTTTGACTGGCTGATCCAAATCTAAGACAACCTCCATGTGCATGACATTCAAGCTTTTTGCCAAAAGGTGAAACAAACATTCGGTTATATGCCTTTTTATTTGCATGTAAAATAAATAAGGGGAAAATGTCATATATCTAATAACAACCTAAACTTTGAAAGCAACTATATCTTGAAAATAAATGTTCAAACAGTCGCTGAACCATCAGCTCCTGACCTTCTGACTGCAGATTCCTTAAGGGTGGATTATACGTTTGCTGCAAGATGTTGACATGCAGTGGAAACCATATAAAACACAACAAATCACATTTCAAAATATATTCTCATGCACTGGATCACTTACAGTGTTTCACAATGGCATAATAAAATCAAATATCTGACAGTACAATCCAACATGTTATTGTGAGGGGAAAAGACAATGTTGTCCCCTACAAAAAAAACAGTTTTTAAATCACTGCAACTTCAGATTGCCTCAGCAACACATCAAAACAATTAAATGACAAACTATTGTTACCCTATTATGAAAGTTACTTTCCATAAAATGTGGCCTGTACAATGCACTTTTGTACATAAAAAGCAATTCTATGGCCTTGCTCATACAAAGGTTGTCCCTCACAGGTGACAAGGCAGTGACAGGGATGAAATGTTTTAAGCTTCTCTTTGCTCCCACATTTGATCCCTGGACACAAGACGGCTTATCATAGGCTAATACAGAGCGAGGCCCTTTAAAGGAACCTCCAGCAGAGCTAAATTCAGTTTAATAAATTACATTCGTCATAAAATAGAAGAGAATACATTTTAAAGTGTTCTTTCCTAATATTAAACTAGTAAAATATGCAAGTATGCTTCTTATATATCAACCAATAATGTGTAAAACCTTTTGCAATGAATGAAAACATTGTGAACAAATGAAACATCTCTTGGTGGATTGTCTGAGTTAATCACATATGGGTGTATACATCCTTTTTCATAAAAAAACTCATCAGTCACTTACAAAGACATCGGAAACATTTAAGGAAAAGTTGATGTTGCACAAGCTGTTTCCAAACCTGCAAACTAAAATGGATATTAAAGATGTTTAAGAGAACGTAACATATTTGAGTGAAAATGTTTTTTTTAACATCCGTTTAGTTTTTCAGTTAACCAGACACAATCCCCACTCTGTCTGCTGTCAGTGTCAAACAAAGATGGGTAATTGCATAATGTGGTACCAACCATACACAACTGAACTCAACACACTTCTAACTCCGTAAATTCTACTTTACTACATAAAGTATTTTACTGCATGAAACTAAATAGGAAACATTGTCATATACTTATCATCTTAAAAGTGAAAAAAATGAACTTAAGCAGGATATAAACTCTTATACATGGAACACACATACACATTTGAGCATCAGTGAAAGTTAATTGAAAGAATTACTTAAACTATTATTTGAAATACTAATGCACTGCAACCTGTCTCCTAAAAATGTCAATGTTTAGGTCACAGGGTTGTGCACTGAACATTTCTTTCTAAATGTGACTTAACTAGAGTAGAATAAATCAAGTGATTTTTTTCACACAAAGCCTTTTAAATATGCACGGATATCCTCACCTGCACAATTCTTCAGGCACTTGTAACATTCAAATAATACAGTACTGACAACCGACTGTAACATTAAGACTAACATTTTACACATTACTCTACTTGTCCCTTACAGGATTACAGGAGCTTTAGTTTGAATGTGAGCTGCAGTAATTATTACACCCTTTTAGCCAGTTGACTTTGATGGCTGAGGAGCCTCTTCTTAAAAAAACGGTTTGCTTTATGTTCAGCCGGAGCCAGTTTCACAAAGACATTTCGGACTGGTCTTGAATTTTAGGCCAGTCAAAATTTAATTAGACTACACAAAAACAACACAGGCTTATTTTAAAGCCTGAAAAGTTAACCACACTACCACCAGGCTAGAATTAAAGTAATTCTATGGTAGTAATCGGTGACACCTGCTAACCAGTGTTTCCATGGTAACAATCAGCAACACATGCTGACCATTGTTTCCATGGTAACAATCAGTGACGCCTGCTTCCTGCTGACCAGTGGCACCACACTTAAATAGAGGGGAACATTTTTCCCAGTAAAATATCCCTGTAATTGTTCAATCCAATCATTTTCTGTTGATCTGATTGTTGTTATTTTACCACTAGTCCTACATAATCATTTGGATCTGAAATCTGAATATTATTTTGACCTAAGCCTAGTCAAAGTCTATCTTTGTGAAACTGGCTGCAAGGTAAAACCGGTGCATCAACCATCACCGTTACTGATCATTCCAAAAGTTATTTTTAATAATAAAGTGGGGAAATGTAAATGTTTGAATCATTTTTGCTTGAATGCAATAAAGTATTTGCGATAAATAGATTATACTGTTTTTTCTCTCAGCAAACGTACTGTATTTGCAATGCAAAGGCACACCAGGAGGTGGAGCACTGTTCCTGTTCTGGGATGGGGGGGTAAGGTATTAGCTGGAATAACCTCAGAACATTTAAAAAGGAAACTTTACAATGTGGAGTTAAAAGTTAAAATAAGTGCTTTTTCTAGTTTGTTTGACATATTTAAAGCTGGCACTAGATAAACAATCATTAATGTGAAAAACCTTTTAGCTAACATAACACATTCAAGAAAGGAAAAATAAATTGTTTCTCAATATTATGAGGATACAATTTGACAATCACCAATAAAAGGACCCCTTTACACCTGGTCTTAACATGTATTGTTTTCAGATTACATCTGTCATGCTTGTCTCTTGTATTATTTACATACATTTCAGTGAATAACGTTCCTATGTGTTCATATCAGTTCATGTTTAGGTGTTGCTGCACAACCTGTTTCTGTTTGAGTTCTACGTGTTTCCTGGTCAGATTGGTTTCGAAAATGACATTTCTATTCATGAGCATCATATATGTGAACTGGAGACACATTGCATTAGAGCTGATTTAGAGGCTAAATGCACCCATGACCTTGTCAGAATTGCTTTAGGAAATAGAAACCAGGATATTATGCAAATTAGTGAGGATGCATGTTAATGCAGGTGCAAAGGTGCGTGCATACAATAATCTTCTGTGACACTTATCTAACATTGTATAATCCTACTAATGTAATGTATTGTGAGAGATCAAACCACAACCTTCTCCTCAGCGATGTTATCTGCATGCAGCTTGTTGTACGTTGTGTGTGGTGTGAACAGAATATTTACAGAGCAGTTGTTTGGCGTCTTTATCAGCAGCAACACGGCACTGACTTCTGTTTCTGGCGGTTACTTGAGGATGATCTGTTTCAGGGCAAAACACAGTCACTTAGTGGCAAATAAATAAACAATCACCTTAACCCAGATAATTCATGAATTATCTTTTTATATTTTGTGCATATGACACTAAACATACATGTATGGAACACATGTTTGAACTCACAAAGGAAGACAATTAATGAAGGTTTTGTTTTTGAGGAGCAGCTAACGCTAACGCTAACGCTAACCCAGCCATCGAACATCATATGCTTTAGTCTGGGCGAAGGGAAGTACTAAAACATAAATAAAACAAATCCAACCCCTTAATCAGGATGGCATCTTTTCACAGTTGATGATAATAATAACATTAATGATATATTAGCTGAAGAATACAACCAGTTTGACTAGTATTAAAGCTACTACTAAGCATTAAGACAAACAGTGACATGGAACAAAGCAAACACATGCCATAAAGAATAAATGCAACACCACCACTGGCAGATGGAAGACTCTAAATAAGTGATGTCTGTCATCGGGGAAAGAGGTGAGATGCAGACCAGTTCAACTGAAGGTCTACAGGTAGATGAAGCTTAATGGCAGGCAATGCAAGCAGGGCAATGCTATGCTGATGAAGCAACTCCCCTGATTTAAAGATGAAGCACTTATTCTGAGCTCAAGGATTTATGACAGAAAGCTTTAAAAAAGGAGCAAACCTGATTGGCTGGTGCTGTTGCTGCGTAGGCGACACTTGTGGCGGGAGTAGTTGCTGCAGAGACAGTAGCAGGCGTAGCACTGTACATCATGGGGACTTTTTCAGGAAGGGAACCATGAAAGCAATGAAAAGGGAGGTGGAGCATTATGGTAACCATAGCAATGTATCTCTCTCTCTTGCCAGGCAAATACAATATGACATTAGCAGCGAGCCATCATTGGGTTAGACCAGCAGATGGCATGTGATCACACGGCAAAGCGAGACGGCAGGGAAGAACATAAAAGGAGAACTGATAAGAGATCTAATTAGGAAATCTGTCCAGAATTTGACATCCCGAAAGAGACGGCATGTATGGCAATGCCATCAGACACCATCGAAGTGTTTTTTACTAGACATTAAAGGAGTTTTGAAGATGTCAAACATTTAAGAGTATTAAAAGTGATTCTAAGGGATGCTGATCAAATTTCCTAATCTGTGGTGCTTTGTAATTCCAAAAGCAAAATCCGCAAAATGCTTTCATTTATATATTATCTTTGACTACTCTAATACATTATTATTGATATATAACAGTGAGTATATATCACAAGACTTGATTATCAAAAACAAACCATTATGCAAATAAAATCCTTTTAGGGAAACACTAACAAAATCTGCCTCTCCGATCATTTTAACGAGTAGTTTTGTTGTTATTACAGGTTGATTCTAATTTAAGGTTTTCCTACAATGCAAAAACAAAAAAGCCAGATAAATAAAAAGCTCCATTGATAATAAGACATATTTTATAAAAACATAAATAAAGGACTTACCCATGTTGTTACCGGGAGCCATGCAGAAGACAGAACCTGTGTGATTATCAAATGGAAAGGGACAGTCTTTTAGTGTGGCTCATACATATGTTCAACACTGGCATGAGCCCACATGAGAACATCTTTAGTGCAGTAAGAATACACAAATAAGACCCATAGCGTTCAGTCAGTAAAGATTTAACAGATATGCAGATTCATTAAGTAAAGTACTACATGTTACAATATAATTAAGAAAAGTGTATTTGATAGCGGTTTGGCTTTGAATCCACTTCATGTTTAAAGCTCACCTGTGGGGTAGTATGCAGCCGCCTGCTGCTGCAGCTGGGAGTTGGCCAGAGCTTGTTGGTAGTGCAAAAAACTGGGACTGAGGAGAGAGCTGGCCCAGCTGTTCTTCTCAAAAGCTTGTCTCTTTGGTAGGGGGACGCTGTAGGGAAAGCCCTGAGAGAAGACAAGAGGAAACATGAAATACCAACCTGTCTCCTCTCTCTATTCAGCTTTATTTTAAACACTTATTATTTAATATGAATTTATAAAAGATATGGAAAAACGGCAAACATGACTACACAATAAAGGTTATCACAAAGTGGAAAAATCAAGCATGTTTTAGGATACAAATATGAATGGAATAACAAAAGGTATTTCAAATTAAGCACTTAAAGCTACTGATGATGACTGTGTACACAAACTACATGAGACTGGAAGAAGCTTTAAAAACACAATGACAGAAATGAAAAGTTATCACAGTACAATTAATAGCTACAACCAAAGCAAAAGGTGAAAATACCAGGTCTACAGTTGCCTCGAGGGATCGCTTCATTGCTTTGGCAGTCGACTGAGTCTTTTAATAGCAGGCAGCGAGCACATGATGGCAGTGGGCCAATGGGATTCAAGCGTTTAACAAACAGGTAACAGCAAGCAGAGGTGCGTCATGGGGGACAGCATTGTGGATAGGTGAGAAGGGGAAAACAAAAACAAAATAATCTGAATGTAGTTTACCACATAAAACACAATATGCATGCACAGTGATCAAAATAACTGATTAACAGACACATTAACTAAAGACTTGTTCATTAGTAGGTCAGCATGTACAGTTAATCAATAGCTATGGCAACACAGATTTATAAAGATAGGGCACAATCTTCTATCTGCTCTATTTAGACTGTCATTTGTTATTGTATATAAAACACTACCACTACTGTGACCCTAACAGGGCTATTATGCACACTATATCATTTGGAAATACCGTATAATGTACATGGATTGGACTGCTTCCAGGAAGCGATAACAATGTAATGCACGTCATCAAGCACTGAACATTTGATTGTTGACTGAAAAATGACTTGGTTGTATGAGAGATAGTCAAAGGCTCAAGTAACCGTGTCTGTAATGTCATAAAACACAGAATGTGGAGCTCTATCTTGTAATACTTGCGACGTAAATTTCATGCAACAAATATATTATGTATATTTACAGTAAGAATACATAAAAGATGATGTTAATGAAAGGTGATGGTCTATGGAGGCCAAGGAAAACACAATTTACTGAAGTAAGAAACCTTACAATGCATTACGTTTAAAATAACTATCTATAGTAAGCTGTTGTTAAAACTGAGATCCAGACCAAGAAAAGCTATAGAGGCAAGAATTGTAGTTAACAGATGACTTTGCACTATAAATATAGTGTTATAATAAAACCGTTCCTCAGTTGCTTTGTAGCACCGGTTTCTGAAGTGTTTGGTGAACAAACACAATGCACACATTTTGATTTGGCCTGTTTAGAAAACACAAGCCTTGTAATGTCAGCAGAAAACAGAGCTCCTTCATTAAAACAGAAAGGGCTAGATTGGAAGCTATTTGATTGACAGGCCTTTTAATAAAAAGGACTAACCCTTGACAGCAGCTGAATCTAATCTAATGTCATCGTTCCTTTTCGTGTTTTCTGGCGTCATTAAAGGTCTGTCTCCATCCCTGGTGTTTGTAAACACAGGATTAAAAAGAAATGCATGTGTTTTTAATTATCAAAGGAGAAACAAAGTTCAGAATTTGCATGGATGATTAAGATCCTTACTTTTCATTTAATTTAATTTATATGTTTTAATACAGAAGATTTAAAAGTTGGACATCCAGAAAAAGTCTCTATGCTATGCCGTTACATTAAATGTGCCATTCTTATAGTATAAAGAGTTATAGTGCTCCACATTCGGTGATATCATGGCAAATCAAATGACCTCTAAAACACCATATTATTGGCAGGGTAATGTGTTTTTGTGTAAAACATGTTGTTTAGAAGTCAGGAGGGTGGGGTCTTACCATGGCTGCGGCGGCGGCCTGGGCTGCCACGGCGGTGTGATTGACTTGCTGTTGACCGGATTTGATTTTTGCCTGTAAGTGTGCAGGCGGGTGAAAATACTTGCACTTCTCCCTGGAGCAGCGGCTCTTAATGTAGTCCATGCAAACAGTTACAGTGTTATCTGTGGTGTCAATCATGGGGCTGTCACTGGGGTGAGCGAAGCGGCAATCTGTCTCCCCTCTCGCACAGTTTCCCCGCTGAAACTCGCGACACACCTGAGAGGAGACATTATAAAGACAGGGACACAGGTTCAGCATGTAGTCGGATCATGTCAACATCCAAGCTATTACTTTATCTTTTCATGTTCGATCATTCTTTGGGGTGCAAGAGTACCTCAAGTTTGTCTGTACGCTGCAGCTTCTGTGAGGGAGAAGAAGAAGATGAAGAGGAAGAGGAGCTCTGGACCGTGACAGGTGGGCTTCCAGAAACGAGGACCTGGTTGTTGGAGAGGTTGTCTGTGGAGATGAGGCTCATTCCATGGCTCAGCGGTGTCATGTATGAACCGTAACCAAGACCAGCGTTGTTGCCCAGTCCCTGTGTGAATTGAAATGTTGGCTATAAGAAAAGATGTCAAATATTACAAGTGAGACAAGCAGTAGGGATGCACCGATCAGGCTTTCTCAGTCACAACAATAACACCTGCGCTCTGGGGAATGGTCAATACCGAGTACTGATCTGATATCAGTGTTCAGTAATAAGCTAAGTGACTGGAATCATTCTTTATGTGTATGGCAACACCAGGCTTGACTTAAAGCATTTTTCTTTTTACTTTGGAAAACAAAATGTGTAAATAATAAATAAATAAATAAATAAATATACATTTGCTGAATTGTCAATAGCAAGCAAAAACTACTTCCATCTGCTGACGTGTTTGTTATTAGCTCCCTCAGTCATGTGGTCTACTGGTGTGCTGCTGACCCATGACTGAACATGTGCACATTTAATCAGCTGTAAACAGATAATTGAATAGATAGACCCCATAGTCACCAGGTCAGCTATTTGTCGGCCCAACAACAGTATCATTCTAACAAGAACACATTTAGAAGTTCCTTCTTAGTGTTGATGAGGCCTCACCATAGACTGCAGGCTGGGCCCTGGGATCATGAGCTGCATCTGTTGGGCGAGCACGGCGGCTGCTGTCTTCTGCTGGATGAGGTTGTTGCGCCCATTAATCTCTAACTGGGTTTTTAAGTGGCAAGGTGGATGGAGATACTTGCAGTTTTCTCTTGAGCATCGACCCTGTGTTCAAAGAAAAGGCACAAAGCGGATTCATCATCCTTATATTCCTCCAAATAATATCTTTGCTTCTTATCACGAGAGATTACATGTGCTTTTTGAAACAGTAGCTTTCATATTTGTTTTAAAATGAGATGCAGAATATCGTCCTCCGTTATTATAGTTAGTTAGGTTACACAACTATACATCTGCACAGCTGTATTTTTCACCCTGATATAGGGAACACTTTGACGTAGGTCTGCACTGCAATATCATTCAATATAAATGCAATAGAGAGGAATGGAAGGACTGAAGGCCATTCAGATATCCAATTCACAATGTTGCCTTTATGACTGCACTGAAACTAATATGAGAGCCTTAGAGGAAGAGCAGACCGGCCACATAACAACACACAACATGGTGATTTGTTATAAATCTCATCAGTCAGGTTGCTACCTCCTGTTAAACGTATAAATGAGCCAAACCAAACCATTTCTGTCAATCAAGATATGTTAGCATAATGACAGGTTAGCTTCCTCTGCTCTTCATATTCAAATTAAGTTGACTAATTTGACATCATTTGCATTTCTCCTAAGGGATTTACTTGCATTATTTTGAATACATTTCCATGTAGGATTAACTGTCATCAATGCTTCATTAGTCTGGATAAAGCTCAGAGTAAACACAGGGTCAATAGAGCTGTTCATCCCCCCTTCTAATGTCTAAATGTTTTACTGGTTTGGAACGTTTGCACAACTTTGCAGTTGCTTCAAAGTAGGGAAATGAAAGTATGCCTTGTGTAATTCAGTTCCCTAAAAGTGAAGGCGCCACAGATATGGGGAGCTTAGTTAAACTGAGGTCAAAGACGAGGAATCTGTTGCACATGAACCATTCTGTCTTGGCGTAATGTTGCTAAAGTTGCATTTAATGTTATGAGTTGGTATGGTCACTTCTCTGCTGGCTCAGGGGAATCCTCTAACATAAAACAGATCAAGTCTGTGTATCAACAAGCCTCTCTGAAGCTTTAACAAGGAGTCATGAGATCCCAGTTAGCAAAGCAGCAAAGGATGTGCTCATTCTTCTGTATAACAAAGTTTACTCTGTTGGGAGTGGTTAGTGGGTAGAGGACGTGGACGGCCATCGTTTTGAACTAATCACGTGTCAATAAAATGCCCCAGTGGACAAGACGAAACAGCAACACACGAGCAAACAAATATATGTTTATAAAGCACAACCTGGGCATTTAACTCTATTTGATATCTTTTTATAAATAAAGGCTGATTTGAATTACACCCAGCGAGTTAGTACCAGTTGACATTTTACCAGTAGCCATACTGTGACAGACATTTGATGACTCCTCGGACAAAAGCCTATTCATGAGGAAGAGCTGTGACATCATCACATGACTGCAACAACTGTTGGTTGACCTCAGATTTGTTCTTTTCTCGAAAAGACTGAAATTCTAGGTTGTATTTCTAAAATGAGATAAAATTGGATGAAATGTAATTTAATTCACTCACTTCATCCTAATAGTATTTCATGATTTCCATTATGTATAATTGCTCTGTTGTTTAGTGTTTGACTATAAACATACGCCAACATCAAGCACAATTTAATCTGGACCTGAGTGAAAATGTATCTTTTATTAAGAAGTTGTACATCTAATACTACTTTTTTACTTTAAAAAAAGAATTGATGCAAGCAAGGCAAAATCAATAATGTTGTTGTTAGATAAAGGAATAAGGTAGCTACTTTGCGTTAAGCCTCAGGTCCGGGCCCTTGACCACTGGGGCACAGAGAAGGCCTACAGTAAGGAGATAAGACGATGACTCACCATAAGTATAATCCTGAGGGCAAAGCTGTATTGTGTGGTGATAGTAAATGTGTGAGAGTGGATTAAGGCAGCATTGGTCTGATACAGGGCAACTGAGCAAACAGGAGGCTCAAAACTGGCTGCCAGAAATAATTGTTATAGTCGACATTAGATAAGTGATGAGACAGGCATCTGACATGTTAACCTATTTTTGGAAAGGGTCATGTTACATATGATTTCACAAACACTGGAGCATGTTGGAACATCAACAGCATTGAGTGGACAGTTTTCTGTGCAGTTTGACATATCTCTGCAGGGGAAAGGATGTAATAGCAACTTAAAATAGGGGGCATATTCATTTGAGAGTTCACTATGGGGAGGGGTTAAAACGTTCAACTGACAGTAGCAGTTAAGGATCTTTCCCTCCCCTATTTAAAACATTTACAAGGGAGGGGGGAACATAGGCTTGTTTTTGTCCCATGCTATGTAGTAACTGTTTGAACATTGCTGTGTAGACAACAAGTATTGATAGCAGGACTGTATAGTTATTGTTATTCTGGTTATAATGGTAGATATGCACTGTAATTGATGGGACATGCTAGCTAGATGGAACCTGCAAGAGCACTTTGAGTATTTAAAAATAAATGTAGACCTATTCAAGAAGAGCACATTTCTTTGCATTATTTCTGATTTGGCATAATACAACAGAGAAACCATTCACTCAGGGACAAAGGTAACAACTACAGTAAAATGCTGCATTACATGAAGTATTATTCCTTTATAAAGGGACAAATGTTCTTAACATTCAGTAAAGTATCAACCAGGTTTCACAGATAATACCGTGTGGACAGCATTTCTTACCTTCAGTGAGTCAAAGCAGGCAACAACTCTCCCATTGTCAACTTGGCAGCTCTTCGGTGGATGAGCAAATTTGCATTCCTCATCACTACGTGAACAGTTTCCTCTCTGGAACTGCCGACAGACTTCCAGAGTTAACCATTTTGTGTCTCTGACTGAAGAAAGGTTTAACGCCATGTCCAAAGGTTATAATCATAAAGTTTTTAGTTTTTAAAAAGGCAATCGGTCGATTTAGTTGTGTCTCATACAACAACAACAACTGTGGGTTGGCTCTTTGTGCAAAGTCCTCTTTTAAAACCACCTTCCATCAGCTGGAGCAGAACGATGAGATGTTTGTTCAATCTCTGAGGAATCACCCATCAAAAGGAAACCACTGTGTTGTTTTTTTACTGAGACACGTTTGAGTGTATATTCCACAGATGATGGTGCACAGAAATATCAGACAAGTGAGGGAATATTAATGCAGACCTCATACATTCTCATGTCATTATATTCTATTCTTATATATTATGGCTCTATTTTAGGTGCTGAAGTCGTGCAAAGAGGAGGCAAAGTGCTTGCTGCTGAGGTATCCTGCGTGTCTTGCCTTAAAGAAAGCATAGGTCGGCAATGTACACAACCACCTTCAGGTCAGGGATATCTTCTCAAAGGCACTTTGTTAGTGATCTGAAAGATAAAAGACAACAAAAGTGAGAATGTTTCCGAAAAACAACACTAGAATTATGCTGCTATTAGTCTACTGTTGGCACATTTAGAGCTACCATCAATTATTCTTATAACTGCATCTCATGTGATTTCTTTTCTTCTATTCACCGGAGACTGTTCATCCTCTAGAGTCATTTGTTCGTTAGCACTTTACAGCAGAAAATGGATTAGGTCAAACAATAACAAATGTTATAATTTGTAATTAGTCTGGTTATATTTTTAGTCATCAAGTCAGAATCCCAAGAGACTACTCATTCTCTGGTTCCGGCTTCTCCAATGTGCTGTCTTTTGTCACCTTTATATCATTCTTAAATACAAATAAAAGAATACAATGTTTTTACTCAACAATACATTCTAATCATGATGATCTCTCTTAGTCCTTCTGCTTTTGTTATGTTTGCCCTGTGTAAAGATTTAGATGTTTGTCAAGCTAATATTGCTAGTGTTATCTTGTTAGCAGATCATTCAGATGTTAATTATTAAAATGGCATCTCAACTTAAAACACATTGTGAATGATGGTTGTTATATTATGTCTGCACAACCACAATTGATTTCTCCCAGTCATGCCTCTTGAAAAGGAACAATGTTAACCGTGTTACAACCAGAGCCACAGTTGTTGTGCTAGTCTGGGCTGAGTAGCCGGATGGTGTCATGGTAATCAATCAATCAATCAATCAATCAATCAATCTGGCAATATGAACATTTACAAAGCTCAAACCCATCCAACCATAGGATGTGTGTCATGCCTTGATTGTAACACATATTGTTAATCAGTATCCACCAAAACAGACTATTAGATTTAATCCTGAATCACACACAATTTCTGCACTTCCTCTCTGCTCGTGAAAACCTTTTTTCCCACGACATAGTTACTCTCTATTTGCTGATTCTGTAGGATGACACAAGCACTTGGTGCCAAATTGCTACCGTCAGATTTGCTGACTGAGAGCACAGCAAGCACATACAGAATACAAGGAAAGCAAGACAAAGCTTAAACACACATCATGTTGGGAGTGAAACCCAGAGCAGTATAGTCAAACCAGCACGCACACTGGTAAAACACACAGGAAGTTGCTGAGGAGGCAGAAAAGGTGGCTAACTCGTGAACAGAATACAAGAGTTTAGAGGTTTCTCTATTGAGAATGTAACATGGCTAACACATGTACAAAGACATAAAAGGCACGGATCAGAAAAACCTCTGCTGTTGTTAACCCAGACCTTCTGCTATAACAGCCACACAGCTTTACTGCATGCTATCGCACAGCATACTGCAGCAAATTCCTTTGGGCGCAAGTCAGGAAACTGAGCAAGAAAACCTACCTCTCTCACTCCATGTAGCAGTAAAGAAGACTGTCCATAACTGAGAATCTAGGTTCAAGATGGAACTTTTCAGCAGCCAACTTGTACAAAAAATACCCAAATAACAGCTTTTAACCTCCTCTCTGTCTCACGGAGTCAGTAACCAAAGATTTTCTCTCCACAACAGTAAAAACAGATTGCCTGTCCAACTCTGGCTGAACATTTCCAGCCACCCCCCCTTCCTGCTTTGCTGCCTGCCCCCAGGAAGACCCTCCCAGTCTGAAATTAGCCAATAGAAAGGCAGGAGCTGATGCACTGTTTGTGCACAGCTTGGAGCAAGACACTGCTGGCAGCTGACTCTTTATCTATGAATACAATTTGGTTATTTAACAGAAATTAAATGCATCATGTGTAATATAGACATGACAAATTATCTACCAACACCCAGTCACCGATTTTGAAGTGTGGTAATGTATGTGGTGTCTGTTTGTTATTTAAAAAGGCGTAACTTTTTGTCTGTAATCTTAATTACATTTTAAGTTGAATGTAATTAATCATGCAAAGCAGAGTAGAACATTATGTGGACTGTTGTGGGCTGGGAGAAACATACATTTGTTTTTTGTTTGTATGCCACGATACAAAATACTGAAATGTTTAGTAATAACCATTTGTGTAATAACCATTTGTGTAGCATGTTTAAATCCAAAAATCCTGCAACCCCAACTAATATTTCTATGTTAATTCAAGATTTTACTCCTAGATGTTGCTTGTACATACATAATCCATTCACTTTCCATATATAATGACTTCTTACACTGAATGTGTCTCACTGCAAAGTGGATTTTATGTGAAATACAGCATGATCAATCCCAAGATTAACAAATTAACTGTCACAAATGACCACAAAGTTGTCTGACTTTAAAAGAGAATGATGTTGCAATAAAACACAGTAATGACATGGCAGTAAACTGAACTGCTAGAGCAGATTACTTATAACAACTCTGCCTCTTCTCTAGTTGTTTAAGTACTGATAGTTAAAATAAATTAAAGTATTTTTCTAAATGTTAGTTTGGTTGACCTCATTTGGTGTACGAGTTGCATTATTATTGATGATAAACAGTAGTTATTGTGTATTAATGTCTGTTCCACACACATTTCCTGGAGTGAGGAAGAGAAGATGCACACACATATGTCAAGCATGTAAACAAAATACAGCTATGTATATATTTTAACAAGGAACAGAAAATGCACTGACTTTCAACACACGTTAGCATGACCCTTACCTGTCACCACCGTGTTATCTGCACAGTTTGCTACTTCGAGGGTAGCATGGTCTCTGATTTGCATTCTCATCCTCGGCTACTTTAGCTAGCTTGTCGAAAATACTTAGTTACAGTAACGTTAGCAAGCGAAATACATTGCTGTCATGGGGCTAACATTGAACATGACGGGTTATTAGCTTACATTAGCCACACTGTTAGCTGGGAAGCACACCTGCTTACCTCATCATCATCACGGATGAACCGCTTCCCAGAGGAAACAGCTATCACGCATCAGCTAGGACAGACGACGAACTAACGAAAACACGATGTCAAGTGCTCCCGAAATGTCTGCTCACCAACAGTTTAACTCTTGCTCTGTTTGCAGATATATAGCTTGTTACTTCGATCTCGTTTCGTTATTACTTTACTATAGCACTGCACAGATTTAAGCAACAAGCTTTTGACAGCTTACTGTACGATCCTCCGTGTGATGACGAGGTTTCCCGGGGTGAGCTGAGATGCCTTAAGGCGATATATTTCAGCATACAACGGGACAAATATCAATACATGCAAAAATATGTGATATTGCAATCTAATTTGCTTTAAGTTGAGTTTAGCTTAATTTTCTTTTGGCAAAAGAGACCATTCTATAACTTACATATTCTAATATTACCCCTTCGACTGCAAAGTGGTACGATCCACACGAATGCCAGTAGGCTAAAAGGGCAAGGGTTTGCTTGTTACCAAGGGAACAGCAATAAAACCATGTGAGTATTTCTGGATTAGTTTATTAAAAACACGATTTTACTTGCACATGTAAACATCTTATAAGGAACAAAATAAATATGAATTTGACAGACATAGTGTCAAAATTCAGCTCAATTATTTGCATTAATTAGTAGTAAAATAACCCATGCATCATAAAGAGGCTTGTCTTCAATGTAATTATGTAAGAACTAATGATACTGAAAGGCTTTTTATTAATTATAATGACTATATATCAGAATAAAAAGCAAAGCAATAGCTTAGTCATATAGGTCTGCTCAAGGTCATATAAGATGGATGCTAACCCGGATAAGATCAGTCAGGAGTGTCAGAAGGAGGGAGGCAAGAGAGGAAGATTTGGCTATTATTTAAAAAAACATATTTCTGCAATGATTTAAAAAAAACAACAACGTTTTTGTTCAGTGCCACTTTCATAAATACATTGTGTCTCTTCTGGTTTATTAGGCTTCTACCACACTTCTAAGTAGGCCACTATGCCTCAGTTGAATGGCTATCTATTTCATTTATTTTCATTTCAAATTGGTAGGATTACTAGAACATTATTTATAGGGAACACCTGATTTTTAAGTACATTTAAAACAACCATAGTCTATACTGTATGTCTGAAAGCATCAGAACATTGACAAATATAATTAGCCCTTCATTTAACACATTACTGGTACAGTGATGGCTATGCTCCACCTAAATGGCAACCATCAATTTCTGTGTGATGAGGATAGTGCAGGAGCACCTCTGCCATGATATTGAATGTGGATGCTTTGATTGGCATGTAGATGCTTTCTCAGGATAAAAGACCATTTAGAATATTCATGTATTAATTAAAATGTTATACCTTTGTGGTCAGTCCTGGAATAGCCTTTAATCAAAACAGAGCTTTATATAAAGAATAAAACAAACCATCAGTGCAGATGTAATATTCAACTCCCACATGCATTTAGTCACCATGCAACACACACACACACACACACACACACACACACACACACACACACACACACACACACACACACACACACACACACACACACACACACACACACACACACACACTTGAACTGACTAACTGATTGATTATCCCTCTTTTGTGTTTCTCTTCTTGTTGTTATTTTGCTTCTTGAAGCAACAGATGAGTTTGATCTGAACTGTCATACTCAGTCTCTTCAACAAACTGGAGATGTGGCATCAATGGCCACAGGGAAAGGTCACCATTGCTCCCTTTGAGGAAAATGCCACTGTCAAAGTGAGTCAGATATCAAAGAGAATGCAGCAATACAGGCTTCTATTTATCTTTTGACCTTAACCATATTTGTTGTGCTCATAATTAGTTATTTAATCTCCATTTAATATTGCATGACTGTGATTGTTGTCACATTCTGAGTTATTTAGATGCACATTCATACAACTTAAGTTGAACTAAACTGTGCAATGTCTGTTGAAGTGGTGTTTTTTTTAGACTGTCCTTTGTTTTGGAACATTTAAATATTCTAAAGTGTGAGACCACTGGTGAAAATGTAAATAGTTTGGTTGTCCTGTACACAATCCTGTGAGTGGCGCACATGAATTTGTTGAAATCATCACTCCCATCTAGTGGTTAAAAAGGCTTTCAAAAAAGCAAAACAGTAGTAATGTTTTAGTTTGAGAAAAATACGTATTTAAATAGGAGACAAGCTTATTTGGTTTGACATTCGTTGTTTTTGTAAAAAGTCCTGAAGAAGACAGGGTGTTTCTTGTGTTTTTATAGAAATGAACAGCCTGTTTAGAATGAACATGTGGCACACAATGAGCAGCAATGCTATATTTTGGCCTGTAGATGGCCCTCTTCCCTTAAATATATTTCTTAAAAAATTGAAAATCCAGAGGCTTGAGAGGTGCATTGCTGGTTTAGAAGCCCAATTCAGAGGTTTCAATGTATTTCAAGCTGTGTCACATCCTGCTGTGATCAGTGAGGTTGTGCAGTGTGGCTAAAAAGCTGAACTATATGGTAAAATGAGGATCAAATACTTTCAATATTGAGTTATTTCTGGTACCTGTCCCTGATCTGAATATATCCAATCTGGCAACGATTTCCCCCCAAACCAGCTAACCCAGGTTCATAAGGATTAAATGAATGTCAATTGATTTTCTTGTCTACTTTCACACCAAGGATTTGGTTTGTCTTTTGAGTTGTTGTGTTGTGGAACAGCCAAATTCTTGTTTTTTCCCCCATCTATAGGAAGTAATAAGATAGATAGATTCAAATTCAGAGTTTAACAACTTTTCGTTGGTGCATTACACATTTCATACAATAAAACACTGAAAAAAAATACTGTCTAACCATCTTGGTGCCTTGCTGCAGTCACTTGATAAAATGCCGAGCCTTTCATCCTCACTGCACAACCTGAAGGAGAGCAGAAGTTTCTGTATGTTGATACAGATGTGAAGTAAACGCCAGATTAACTCAATATTCTGTCAGCCCTGAGGCACTTGGTTTTATAGGTGAAGGGAAACAGACGTGTTTTCATGGCTATATGTTTGCACTTGTTAACACCATGCCATACCCTACTTTTCTGGATATTGATCAAAGCCTACCCTACTTTGCTAATTAAAAGTTTGCTCACAATTAATGTGTGATGTCTTCACTGTATCAGCACATATAATCTTCATTTAGGAAGTTAACTGGCTTATAAAACATGTAAATTTCTGATACTTAATGATATGAATCATTACATTCAATGCAAGAGAAAATATCAAGCTAACTCATATAAATAACTGGATGTGATTATCTTTAATTAGGCCTAATATATGTAACTGTGACTTATCACATTATATACAAAGTATATACTCACCTTAAGTTTACTTTGAGATGGTTCACAAAACAACTTCGAAAACCAATTTCGAAAATCAGTTTTTGGTAATATACATTCTTGCAAACAAAACCTCAAGTAGGTTAGTTGAAAAATATAAAAAAACACACCATAATGTCATGGCCATTCAATGCATTTATTTCTGATATTATAAGCAGAATTAACTCATTTTTTCAGGTCTGACAAAGTGGCAGATTAAATATTACACGCCAAAAGGCTCTTAAACCGTTCATTTCATCACAAGACTTTAACATGTACATATACATTCTTACACTAAGCTGTCTTCCATCATCACTGAGGTGTTGGTAATTCTGTTACTTCCCATCAGGCAAAGCCATTCTTTAGCAACAGTTAAAACTATATAAATAAACAAATAAATGTACATCATCTTATCAGAGACATGTTGTGGCAGTACAACTTCATTACAATGCTTCTATAATATAGCGGCATGTCACACTTTTATGAAAATGTCATTAACATTTTGAGTGAAAAATCCTTGTTATCCCCTTTTCTTTATTCACACAATCGTTTAAGAGATTTTGAGTTTTTACTTTTCCTATTTGCAGTCCATTACAAGTCTTTTAGGAGAAATATGTATTAAGAAGTCACAGAAATAATAAGCCAAAAAATTGAGCAGTGTACTGTTGTTTTATTTTTAACCATTTTGCAGTTTAAATATCTTATTCATTTTCTGTGTTTCAAGGGAATAAGCAGCAGCTGACAGAACAATAAAAGTAGACACTGACTGAATAATACAAATATTTGACTTCTCAAACATTTTTTGCAAGTTTTACTAGATCTCAGCCATTACACGTCTAAATATGTTGTTGATTATGCTGGTATGGATGTACAGTAAATATCTTAATGTAGCCTAATTGATGAGATTAATGGCCAACAGCAATTGGCTAAATTTTCTTTTCAACATTTCCAGCTAATTAATAAAAATGTTGTATTTGTAATACTCTTTGACAGCGAATTATTATTATTTTAAATTGTAGAAAGATCTGTCTTTCGTAGCCTTTATTGAAGGCTTTAAACCTACACTACATTATTGATATATTTTTTTAGGTAGAAACCCTACATACGTAGCTTCAGTATTATGGTTTACAGACAGAATAAAACCGATCAGTCACTTCCTGTTTTGATGAGAGGAGAGGTGGAACAGCCTCGCTAACTGTAAATTAGTTGTTTTTCTTCATAAAGCAAGGTTTGTTTGAAAAGACTGATGCCTTTAGCAGAACCCCTAATGCACTTATCACAATTATTCTTTCATTTTCACTGCATTGACATGACATTTTACGATGATAATGCTGAGAAAATTAAATAATTTTTGGTTGCTATTTTCCTACGTTTTTGACATTATTAACATATTATGCTGCAACTCGTTCAGCTGAGTCCACTCTCTCGCACAGTGTCAACATTAGGATATAGGACCCTCTTTGAGTAATAAACTAAAATTAGCTCAATTTTTGCTGAATGAACGGACCCGGGAGTCACTCAGCAGTTACTGTCTCCATGGAAACCCCTATTTGCAGGTGTTACAGCTGATTGAGATGTGCTACTTCTTCCCCTTCTTCTTCTTTGATCTCTGTGGTGATCTCTCTCACAGTAGCTTCTTTACACATGAACACAACAGATGTTATTTACGTGTTGAACCTTTTCAGTTCCTTTCTTTGCTCTATGCCTCTCAAGTGAATCTCTAGGTGATCAGTCTGTATTCTGTGTCGAAGGCTTTGAGGCAGCACAACACAGGTGTTAATGATCACAACAACAAATATACACATGATAGGCAAAATAACCTCACACACTCACATAAACATGGGTATAGCGCATTTACAACGTAGTTTTTCGTAAGTGTTTCATTAATAGCTGTACAGCACACGTACTGCTCCTGCAGTGCTCATGCCATCTGTCATCGGGGGCCATTGTAATTTCTACAGCTTGTGACACAGCAGTGCTGCATGTTGGTTTATTAAAAGACATTTTCAAAATGAACGTTCTGTTGAAAATTCCCATTTAAAAAAGAAATTCTTCCGGTCTAATAGGATGATCATTTAATGCATATATGTTGCCTGTGGTAAATGAAGAGCTTATCTGAAAAGTACATACTTATGATTAAACCAAACAATGAAAAAATGACGACCCTGAATCTGAAGCTTAATGGAATTCAGCCATCATTTATTAAAGTATTTACAGTACAGTAATAATCCTGTATCCAACTTAACATTTTCTTTTTATTTAAGTAGGAATTTGAAGTTTAGTTATTGAGTTGCTTTGTGTATTTTTTATTGATTTACTTTAGATACATCTGATCAAACCACACCCACACAGTCTTTTTTTGTCAAAGATGTTGACAATCAATCTGAATATTTTCATAGTATTTAATGTTATTGGATCATTCTTAATGACACACCTACATCTAAAGTTGCATGAAATGTTACAAAATCAAATTAATGGAGTGGAGTTTAGGCCATAAAGTATTATTGAGACACAGATATAAAAAATGAGCCTTTGTCAATAATTATAATCAAAAATAATAATTTTGTCACAAATATATTTCCCTGCTACAACACAAGCTTCATGAATTCAGTAATACATTCAGCACAGAAGGATTTAATATTCAGTGCTGCAGCTCCTGAAACACTTGGCTGAGAGTTATCAATGTGCTATACACCTTGTTTTTGTTCTCTTCCACCCATCCACACTCTCAGTGAAGTGAGTGCATCCGTACAGACAAGTTCACCCATACAGACCCACAGCTCAAACCTGTATTCATTCACCACATTCAGTGTACGATCCAAATTAATCACTCAAACAAGACGACGGTGATTCTCTAAACCGAAACAAACCTGTGCCATCCGAGGTATTTCATATTAACGGCAATAAAAGAAGAAACATGAAAAATGACTTAAAATAGCAGCAGCCGTACCACTTCAGTGTTGACATTTAGAGAGCGTTTAATTTGACAAGCAGGGGTTTTGAGTGAATGTGAGATGAGAGGCATAAAAAGCATCACTGAAGCCTATTTAAGCAGATAAAAACAAGCCCTCTTTTATCTTCACGTATTGGCTCGCTGATTGGATTTGAGGGACTGGAAACGTTCGGGCAGACAAAATGACAGATGTGTTTTATTTCTCGACTCCCTGCTCTGAGGCTGGTGTTTGTGAGCTGGGGGCTCTGCTGGCATTAAAGCGCTCTCGCTGCCCACAGTGCCGTCAGCTCTACAAACATGTAAAAGCAGCCAGTGTGACGGGGGGGCGTGAGAGCTGAATGCTGATCATCTCGTTCACAGTCCGGCCACACACCAGCCACACTGACACATTTCATCACCTTTACTATTTACCAAGTTTTTATCTGCCACATACTTGTTGAATTATTCACAGAATATGCTTTTTTCCTCACAGAGAACTTGTTTCCTTTCTCATTTTCTTTGTGATTAACACTGTGTGTACAGCACATGATATCTCTGTGTGACGTGCTAAAGTCTGCAAGGTATTGCACTTGAGGAAATGAATATATATTGAACTGTAACCAAAATATAACAATCAGATATAGTCTTCTGTAATTTGGTTTAAAATATGGGTTTTGCATGCATACAACAAAGTCTTTAGAGAGGGTTTCATTGTCATTGAATAAAAATACAATAAATACATGGTGATTTGAATTAACTTTGGCTCACAGTACTGCATATCTTTTGGAAATCACTCTCCCCAATTGTCAGTATAATGTGGACGTGTGACATGCAAGCATAACTTCTTCTACAACATCTTTCAAAAGGAGAAAGTTGCAACAAATACTTCATGACATTCCTTATTGTTGCTTCTGAATGTCAAAATAAAGCAATGGCAGCTTCTTTTGATTGTTTTTTTCTCCCTTCACCTCAGTTCAATGTCTTATTCAACACATGATAAGGCAAAAATTAAATGACCAAAACAATTCATAAACAGCATTTAAAGATTTAAGACACCAAAGGGCACTCCAAGGCAGAGCTGCTGTGAGACGCACCGACTTGGCAGTTTTCCTAAAGAAACAGCAGAGCACTTGGATCACACTGAAGCTGAAAAACAGACGGATGCATGAGACAGATAATTGGTGAGACAAAGAGAGAGAAACACCGGATGTGCGAGAGAGAGTCAAAGCTTTAAACAAGTCTGTGAGGAATCTCTCTCCTGCTCCTCTCTTTTAAGACCACAGCCTCACCAACGGGCCACTTGGCTTGTGTAGTCCTCCGTGGTGGTGGGGAACTCACCCTCAGTCCCTTTCTCCGACCCTCCTCCCCTTCTCCCACCTGCATTTCCTCCCCCTTTGTGTTTGGGCGGCCATGGCCTCCCTTGCTCTTTTTGCTCCTTCAGCCAACGCTTCTCCTCGCGCCTCTTCAAGCGAACCTCCTGGTGCTCCCTCTGGCGGGTGAACTGGAATCGCTGGAGGAACAGGTCCTTTGCGTACTCGTACAACTGCACATCCAGATAGTTGAGGTCCTCGATGCGTCTGCGCACGGGCTCGCTCAGGTCCACGTTGGCGGCTCGCGTGCTGTTGATCTGCGTGAAAGCGGCGATGAAGCGCAGGCTGAACGTCCGCTCAAACATGTACTGGGTCTTGCGTTGAAACTCGGTCAGGCCGTAGAAAGCCATGTTCTTCAGGTTGCTCATGGCGCTGCTCAAAAGGATGTGGTTCCGCTGGCTCTCGTTCATGGAGGACAGGTTGTAGCAGCCCACCAGGCTCAGGTCAGCCAGCATGCGGACCTGTCGATTATTTGCCAGGTTGGACGGGCAGTTCATGAACTCCGTCAGGGTGACCCCGGACCAGTCGTCTCCGATGTAGCAGTTTGGCAGCTCGTCCTGGGTGGGCGAGCGTCCGTCACACATATGGAGGGCCGTCTTCCACGTGGCTCCTCGCTGGACGTGCTTCCACTCGCTCAGGTAGCGGGACACGGGGTCGCGCAGCATGGTGATGTAATAGAAGTTCCTGCAGCCAAAACAAACACAGTTAGCGAGCTGTGAGCATATCATTATCATTATCATCATCATCATCATTATCATAGAGGGCTGCCCTGCATTGTGCTGACAGATGGTGACTTTTGTCTGTGTATGAAAGTCCAAGGTTGAATGCTAATTGGCAAACTGGAAGTCTCGCTAATGAGATTATTATTTTAGTTTATATATATTGCCCTTGGAAATTACATCAGAGCAATGATTTTACAAATTTGAGCTAAAATCCTTTCCGTTCCACAGATTTCTCCCACCTGCCAAAATGCAGAATAATTGGGAATCAAGACATAATGGTAATCCTTGGACACACAGAGAGAGAGTTAAACTGACCCAACCAAATCCCAAATATGTCACTGTTAAAAAAATAACGAGGTTTCAGTTTGGCTGCCTAAAATACATTGCACTTTTAACTAGGTATCCAACTATTCATTTGTCACCCAATCACAGCAGGTCATTTTACAGGGGAAAACACATTCGGCTGGCATTTTGGTGGTGAAGAGCTGTTAAATTAGAGCTATTCTTTTTTATACAAACCTCTCCCCTAGAGAGTGTATATGTCCTCAATGCTTGCAAAAGGACAGCCACTGAACAAGGAAAACAAGGGAGGACGCTTAATATAGATTCATCAGTTTCCTGCAGTGTCAAAGGGACATTTCAAATGAGGACTCAGATGAAGCTCTGTGGTGCAGGAAGCTAAATATACATCTTATACCAATACCATAACATGTGTGTATGTATTACAAACAAAGCAAACATTTTCAATATGAATGTATGGTTACAAATCATAGTTGACTGTGAAGTTGATATTTTGCGTGGGAGTGACAGACTGCAAGACGTTTGACCCGACCTTCAAACTAAGGTTGAAGAACTCCAAGGAGATCTACTCAGCTGAACCGCCGGTATGTCAAAGCGCACTCTGATGGAAAACAAAGATTGGACAGGTGTTGTCCAGGTAAGCCACTCCTAAGGTGATGTCCTGTGAGTGCTGTATGAATATTTAATGATGCGACCCCCTCCCCAGAGACAGTCACGGCAGATAAAGTGGAGCACGGCACTGAGATTTCCCACTGACTCCAAAGCTGCTCTCTGCACTTCTTTCAACACAGCAAACATCCGCACAGTCTCATAAAAGAGGCACACAAACAGCCTCCTGTGCTTACACTCTCTTGTCCTTCAGGGTTGGCTTCACACAGGAATAGTTTGCTCAAACTTTACACAGGTTGTTTAACACGAGAATATCGTTTTTGTTTGGATTACTTTATTTGTTTTTTTGTATAAACTACCGTTTTTGACCTGACCAGTTCTTATAAAGCAGCTTTAACACTGACATATCCCGGTCATAATCACAGTCTGCTTTACATATAAATGATAAAAGGGCGGCTGTGTCAGGAGTCTATTCAAGAGCTGAACAAAATGTAATCCATTTGGTGATTTAATTGTCAACCTTTTGATAATGGATTTAACATCTTTAGAAAGATTCTCTGGCACGCTTCTCCAATATGCAGATTTGCTGCTTGTTTTTGTTACGTTGTAAAATTAATTCCTCTGGGTTTGAAACTGTTGGTCAGGCAAAAAAAGGACTTCATTAGTAATGAAAAAACGAATTAGCTAATAAGATGAAGTGATAATGAAAACAGTTGTTTGATGCAGCCCTAGCCAGTACCAGAGATCATGCTGGGATTGCTGTAAATTGCAAAGTGTGAACCTGCTCTCATACCAATAATTTACACATAAATAAAACCTTTTAATATATCCTGAAGTCAATCAGTTTGACAACAAAGTGTAAAGTAACAGTGTGAATGATGATGGGATATGGAAACTTAATTCCAAGAGTTCAATTCCCAACAATCGTGTACGTATATGTTCAAGTTTGCAAACAGCTACCATACAGTAAGTCAGGAAAGACGCTGTGATTACAGGCCTGGTGGCAGCAGCTGTATCCTGGCACTTGCTCCTGCTGGCTTCAGATACTCCCTCATTAGACTGTCTGAGACATAAAAACATGCAGCAAGTGTTGTTTGAGTGCACTCGACAGCCCGAAAGGTCAGTGGTGTGCACCATCAGTGTCAAAAAGCATCAGGATCAGCGGGTCTGCAGAGCTGTCTTGAGGAGGCATTCCCTGAGTGACACAGATGGCCGTCTTGAGGGGGGGGGGTAGGGGGATCAGGCCTGTCTTACCTCTGGCCTGTGTTACCATCAGCTCACTCCCCATCAAAATGACCGTGAAAACTTTACACTATGATGCTGATATCCAGCAGATAATTGTTGGCGAAAGCAGTTCAAATGAGACTACTTAATGACATGCTGTCTCTTCTGGCAACACCGAGACAAAGGAAATAAAAGGAAGAAGCATGTTTTGTAGAGTTTTCCTAATAATTTTTTGTATAAAGTCTTTAACCAGTTGCTAAATGTTGAGTGCATCAAAACAAAGAATACAGAGCCATCTTTAAGATTTGTCAGCTTCAAGAATGTGTTTGGACCAACATCACATGAACATTTGGAGTATCTGAGATCCTCCTCCTCCTTTTAAAAACACCATAACCAGATGTGTGATGTATCAACACCAACACAAACACACTGGTTTATATTTAACATGTCATGGGGATCAGTGATGCTGCTCTTGTGCATGGTGCGTAGAAGATGCACAAACTCAAAACGTGTCCACTGTTGTTGAGTGACAGGAATACCAAACCTGCATCGTGTGGAGGGACTAAATCTTTATCTAGGCTTTTGGAGGTATTTGTGACCATTACATTATATTGGTCAGTGGGGGAAGACACATTTCCATATTTCATTTGTTGGGAGGGGCTACAATCCCCTCCAGGTCCCCCACTGCGATGGAGTAAAGAACCCTGTTGAACTCTGGTTAATCATGGATCAATAATGGATAGGAGGCATATTGCAACCCATTCCACCCCAGAATACTCATCTCTAAAGCAGCAGCACCAGCAGCCAGACTTCAGCGGTGCACAGAGTAAATAGGGGCCATTGAGCAGAGATCGAAGAGGAATTCAAAAGTGTGGCTAAAAATGGAAACTAAAGCAAGGAATGATGAGGGCAGCAGAGGAACGAGCAGCTACAGCCTATAGCTACTAAAGCTGAATACTGAAGCTTGGTTTGATTTAAATGGTTATTGATAAATACAGCTTGCATCGAAGCTATGTTTGATTGATACATTTGAGAATCAGAGGTTTGGCACAACAGTCGAGAAAGAATTATGATATTCAATTAAAACACCACATTTTGAACTGCTCTGTTTTTTTTTACATCTGATCTAAGGGCTACTTTATGCACAAGGGAAATAACATAATCTACAAGGTTTTCGAAATACTGCTCGGAAATGGGTTTTTAGTGTGCTCACACTGGTAACTGCCCAAAAATAAAGAGCATGCATACTAAAAAACAATTGAATGTGTTGTAGATGGAATATATTTTCCCACAATGCAATGCAAAAAAAAAGGAGCTAATTACAGCTGAAAAGCATCAATACTAATTGTGGATGGTAATGAGACACTTCCCGTAACACCTTAGAAAACAAAAGTGAATCATTGAACTCTCTGAGAAAAACATGTTTTTCTCTCTTGGTTAGATTAACTGGCAACAATAATTACCTGTGCTTAAACAGCTAAAACAGTATTATTGTACTAGCAGAATTATTGAAGATTAGTACAAACTCTGTATATAATTAGTGTCTAATGTAATATTGAATTTTGGACACAGGGTCAACAGCTTAGTGGTCATGTATAACACAACAGTGTTTTGAGCCAAATGCTAAAGTCAGCATGCTAACATGATAATGCTGACATTTAGCAGGTATGATTACCATGAAAGACTGATATTTCATCCATAGCCTCATGCCACTTTTACAGCTAAATAACAAGCCAGCTCCCTGTGAATATCATCACTAAAACAGCCCCTGAACCCACAAATAAACAGTTTTATCCTAACCCTATGTCAGAGCAAAAGACAACTGGCTTTTAATTGCCCGTTATTAGCCTCATTGACACAATTTCAGCCCACTGCTTCTCCCTGATTGCAGGCTGCTAAAAGAGACATTGTACTCTCAGCCTGAGAAAGCAGATGAACTAAATTAACTTCTCAAGATTTTAATGTGTGGGGTTGGGTATCATTGCAGGTGCTTCAGGGTGGGAAAGGGAAAAGCAAAACAATATATCTGTGAGCCGGGCGGAAAGTTGCAAAGGCTAACACTGAGAGCAGTAAATAAGTAAAGACAGACCATGTCCCCGTACAACAGTGGAACTGACAGATGTTGGGATGTAGCCTGGAAGACACTCTATGTGTGAGTGTGAGTCAAAGTTTGAGGCAGCTGCCGGTAATAAACAAAACTTCTACTTAATTACAATTTTCTAAATGTTCTGTTTTATATTTGCTTTATTTGTTTTATTTGCTCCCATGCAGCCTGAGAATTTAGAAAAATAAACCCTTAATATGTCAAGTTTTTCGCTCATTAAACCGTTCACCAATCAGCTTAATAGGCATGATTTATAATGGGGATGTCTTCTTTCTACATAGATTTTTTATCTGGATAAGTACTCTTTTGGCAATAAATACAGAATGTAATAGAGAAATACTTAAGGCTTTTCACCCTTATCATGTAGAAAACACCTTAATATATTATTGTTTAACGCTTATTTCAGAAGTTACACTTACATTTTCAGGGTCACTTTCCTGTTTGATATGTTACAACAGTGCGGATTTAATGTCACATTGGTCACGCAACACTATGAACCAAATGTTAATAAAATGAATGATGGTTCATACCTTCAACATTCAGTGTCCTCCCTAAAGAGGTATAATGTACTAGAGGTTGGGATGCATGTTAGGAGCACATTGTACAGTCAGCCCTTGAGAATAAGGTATTGTGTAATTTTGCACCTCACTTGACTCTTGCCCTTTTCTCCGCTCTGCTTCTCCTCCATGTCCTACATTAGTGTTAGACATTAGTGTTCCCTCCGG